AAGATAGATAGATTTGACTTATATTTTTGAATAACAAACTTGTATCTTCAATTCATATAAATTATTTAATTGTCGTCCATGTTTTCAAGAAAGTGTGTGGCACACTTATCTTCTATCATAGAGATTAAGAAAATGAGCATTACAACATATCCCGTCTATTGTGTAGTCCTTTGACTATTATTAGGGAAGGGATGCCCATGATTGCTCTTTTTTTTTGCTTGGATTCACTTTTATGCCATTATAATAATGAGGGAACTTACTTTCTTATTTATTTTTAAGGATGTATTTTATAGAATTGTGCTACATATTATACTTTCTTAATATGATAAATCTCTTCTTTAGATCTATTGTATTGATCAACGGTCTTTCACTTTAATTTCAAATAAGACGTCCATATATACTTTCACATTCCTCCCCTTTTAGCATTTGAATATATGATCTATTGATCATTGGTATGTGGCACTAACAATATCCAGTACTAATCGTATCAATTTGTAGAGTAATACTCCTTTTACAGAAGTAACTTATTGAAAATCAACAAGATGCTTTTTTATCCTATACAACTTGAGATGGAAACAAGAATGCCTATTATAGAGAGACTAACGGTTGAGTTTGCTAAAGTATTAATTTATATGAGTGGGTATCTAAATTTTGGGCATATCAAGCTTAAGTTGATAAAGTCTAGACATATAATTCATTTATTATTTGCTTTAAAACCATGACTATGTTATAAACCTAATCAAAATATTACATTTCTCTTATGAACTTGGTCTTAAGATATTTTTGAAATTTTTCCTGATGGTTTATTGAGGATGGAAATGGCCTTTTAAATATTTTATTTAATTGACTTTGCTTCTTTTTTTTATATTTAACATATAACATGAAACATATACACCTTTTCTTTTTTTCTTAGCTACTATTCAAGTAAACACCTAAATATTTTCTTAAATAGAATGAATTGGCTGGTTTATATACTCAGGATGAAGAGGTAGAAATTTAGAGAAATTGACTTAGGATCCCATTTATGACTTAAAATTCATCTGTGATTTTAAAGTTACCTTCTTTCTACTTTTAACTATGGAATCTTATTTTAAGGACTTCTTATGACTTTAAGATAGCAATCTTTTAATTATATAAAATTTTGTTTGTAAAATGGTATTGGTCTTATGAAGATGGTGTTATAGGTAGCATTTCATTTATTGTGAAGTTCTCCATGGCCATGTATTATTGATTTCCTTCTTCATATATGAGAGAAGATTGTCCATATCTTTGGTTTGTTTTCTCTCCTAAAAAAACAAATAGAGAGGATCTATTGTTGGGATCAAATGTGTGGCGCCCAAGTTCATCTTTTTGAATTCACCCTTGAAAATAATGGTGATAAGCTTTTGTTATTAATGAATGTGTACATTGTTTGATAATTAGAGCATAGGGTCATGACCACCACTACGTCATTGATGAAGTTATGCTTACATGTTTGTTAGCTTCCAAAAAATTAATAGGTGCAATTTTTGAGCAAAGGTTTTTTGAAGTATTGGTCAATTTCACTCCTTATCAGAGTTTTTTAAGGTTGGCCTAGTAATTTACTTCTTCCTTTACTCTTACAAGGGTTGTTAGTGCTAAGCTTGTAATTTGAATTGCATTGTTCAGAATTGTCTCATTTTTCTACTCATCCATAATCTCTTTCCTTGACATTCTTCTAGAGTTACTCAATATAATCGTCTAATCTCCTCACCTTGATCAACTTCCTAAAAAACTTCCCCAACTTTTGGCAATCTTTTATATCACACTTTTGAGCCCTATACAATGCAAAGTACTTAGAAGTGTCCCTTTGGTGTTCCCTACTTTTATAAATGTTGCTCACTTGAAGAAAAAATTTTGGATAACTTCCATGAGTTTAGCCATTTTTACTTAAATAAAGGCGTTGATTTGATAATGATAGGTTAATAATGATTCCACTTGGCATTTTTTAGAGGGGATTGCACTTCCACTTATAAATTATAAATGTTTTAATGATTCTAATGGGATTTTTATTTAGAGAGTCCTCCACTAATGATATAGATGGTTTTGAAAGTGCAATTCTCTTTGTACTCCTTGAAATCAAGCATGACTCCTACCATCATTCATGATCAAGTTGAAGTTTCTTCTTATTTTGGCATCCCAACAGTGAACATATGTGAAAGTTCTAGCCATACCATTAAAATCTCCCATATTACTATGACGATTGCAAGTTCCAACAACTCGGGCAACATCTTTGACTACTGCAATATGAGAGCATATTTGAATGGCTCTTCCTACAAGTTTTAGGTGATAGCAATTCAGGTGACTACTTTTTAATATCTCTAACTTCTAACATTTCTCTCTAACCTGATAATAAAGTTCATAAGAGACTTGCCTACCTCTTATTTCATTAAAAGAAGAGACTTGCCTACCTCTTATTTTATTAAAATTCTATGAGGCAGTCAATAAGCTATAGAAAATTGGGTTATGAACATTCTCTATTTCCTCTAAATCTATCTTCTTGTGAGATTTTTTGTTGGGTTATAGAGCTCAAAAAAATTTTCCACTCTATACTCTTATCTTATTTGGTTGACCTCCTTTCATAATTTTCATTTCTATTAATGATAAATATTTTTCTTTGGAAAAGTTGGGAGGGAATGGAGTTAAATTTTTAAAACACCATAATCAAAGTGACCAACTAAATGTAAATATTTGATCAACTAATGCTCACAATAACTTCAAAAGTGGATGATATGGTATGCCTAGCATGTCATGATATTGGTAACTAATAAAAAATAAATAATTCATTAACTTGTACTCAAGAATTAACTAAACACAAGATTAAAAAAGTGTGATGGATGAAATGTAAGAATTCCATTAGGCATGCATGAAAGGATTATGAAAAGTCAATATAGGAAATAAACAACTACAAAACAAATAAGGAAAATGATCGCAAAGAAATAATGGATAAGAAATAAAATAATGAAATGATATTGATTTCTTTTAACTAAAGGGAATTTAATGAGATCCATCGAGGATAATAATATTTAACAAGTATTTTTCAAAGGAATTTTAAAAAAAATTTATTCATTTTAATTCTAAAGAAGAGCAGTTAATTAAATAAAAAACTGTTAGGCAAAATAAAATAAAAAAAATTTGAGGCTGCTCAATTAAGAAAATGCATACCATAATATACAAGTTAAATCAAGAAAGAGTGCACAATAAAAGCTAATGCAAATTTATAAGGAAATCAACCCAAAAGTTGTGCACAAAAACAATAAAAATAAACATTACATGTAAAGGATATTTGACATGTTATAAGATAAAGCACAGGTGTTTCATTAAGGATTTAGTTTCTAGAGAAGCTATTATACATGTGTCTTAAAATAAGCTATCAATTCTACCAAATAAACTCTAGACCTTTTTATGGGCTAAGTTGGGGCAAACACACCAGAAAAGCAAAGTATTAAGATTTGACATTATCCAAGAGATACAAACAAAGAAATAAACAAAATAATAAATTATGATATAAATTTTGTGAAAAAAATATGTTAATGCTATATCAAAGTGGGGATTCTCTTTTACGAGGGTGAGTCCAGTAATTATCCTTCAGGTGTATAATATTGAGTATGTTCGAACCCATGTCAAACAACCTTCCAACGAATAGAGGACGCAAGTAAAGAGGTCTCGCATTACATTAGATTCAAGGCCTATTATCAAAATTATCAATTATAATCTAATTTTATTTTATTAATAATTTTAGATTATATAAATTATAAGGGCTAATTATATGAACTTTGGAGAGACATATTGAACACAAATAAATTATTTTGGAACCATATAAATTAACGTAATTTAGTGATTCCCGAGAAGATATCAAATATTATTTTGAATCCTTCATATTGGAGTTATACTATTTAATTCTAAATTGATTAAGGTCATAAGGAGGCTGGCATTATAGTTTATGGACAAAATTTTAATAAGAAATACTTGTTTGTTTTCTTGTAAGCTCTTTTATTTTCTATAGAACTTCATAATCTACTTATACCCTCATTGATTCAATAAAAAAAAATATACTTTGATTGTTGACAAGAACATGCGTACATAGAGAATAAGAGAATCAACCATACCTGAGACATTTAAATCTTAATGCACGTTTTATCTCAAGACAAACACTCTGAAAGTCTCTTGTTAAGTCAATTTCAATGCCCGCTAAAATAAAAGTTGATTCTATCTTATTTTTTGCTATTTTATTTAAGAAATAGGTGGTTGATCATGTGAGATTTATAAGATCATTAAAAACATTAAGAGAACCTATTAAGGCCCATTCAAATCAGCCTAAATTAAGAATTCCAAAAAAAAGTAAATAAATATTTAAATAAATTATTTATATTAGAGTGATACTATTTCTCTTCAAATAAAGAAAACTAAAGTGAACCAGCATAATAATAATCTATGAATGAATTATTAATGAGGAATTTTAAAGTATTTTCTTATGATTTTTCATCCGAATTTATAAATCTTCCTGTATGGCGAATTGATTAAAAAATAATTATAAAAGCTTTCTAGAACATATATTACAAGAAATTAATTTCACCTACTTAAGGCATCCTTTTACCTTTTATTCGTCTGCATCTTCACCATCTTATCAAAATGCATTAACTCACTTCAACTCCTACAAAACCAAGCAAAATCCCTTCCATAAAATAATAGCTCAAGCTGGCTGGCCGTTTATTATTATAACTAATTCATGTTAAAAAAATAATATAAAATAACGATCATTACTTAGCAGCTAGAAACATTTCTCTTAGTCTTCACCAGCCCAAGATCTTCCTCAACCTTATCCCAAAAATTATTGAGTTCTCAAAACAACTTGAGAAAGGCCAACCATACTTTGGAACCAAAAGCTTGATTTTCATCTACCAATGTAACTTTCGTTTGACTACAAGTAATTCTTCTTCCTCGTCAATAACCTATTTTTAAATTGAGTTTTATCGCAAAAATTGCATATTTTATTGAAAGCACCAAATGTTATGGACATTCCACAACTAACACAGACAAAATTGTCATTATTCTTCTCACTTCACCACAATATTCTCATAACATCCATTCATAATGGACCCACAGGCACCATTAAAGACCATAAATACAACGCACGCAAAAACGAAATTTGATGGTGAAGCTAAAAATCAATTAGAAAATGATAAATCAAACATGAATACATATGGAAGATATTGCTCTGATCAATTTATTATCATTGATCAAAATATTCATGGCTAGTCTTCTGTCGCTTAGACTCAACACCATCTTCCTGCTCTTCATGGTTATGCGCCGGCTCTCTTATCTCATTTTCCTTGTCATTACCAACCAATATATTTATAGCCTCTGGACCCAATAGAGAGACATGCTTGCTTGAGATCCGTCTCCCTGCTCTTACCTTAGGACCCCAGTGCCGTTCAGGATTTGGAAGAAACCTTGCAACCTTCTTCACCTGAGCTTTGCTCAGAGAAGCAAAAGCACGAGAAAAATTTGCCTGCCAAAAAGCAGAGCAGCAGTTTATAGTTTACAAATCACCTAAATACTTAGGCTCGCATGCTACCTTCTCCATACATTAGGCTAATTTGGTTCATTGGCTGCTTCTAAATATAGAAGACATGGTGGGAGACAATGGTGCTATTCACAATTTGAATGTGAAAAAGACACCATTGTTTCGGAGAGAGTTCTGGAAAGGTAGTGTAACTACATTCAGCCAAATGATGATTTTAACAAGCTGCATCAGTTTTCAAAACATATATTCTAACTTCCAACCTATCAAATAAGCACCTAGCTGAATGTGAAATGTAAGTGTAATCCTTTAAGTTTGATTTGAAAAGAAAATTAAGGGCTTATGCACTATTCATTTGATATTTACTCTTTGTCAATACTTTTCTAAATGCAGCTGTGTAGTTCCAGCCATGGTGATTAGATTTATTGTGTAGCCGGGCATTAAGGATAAACAATACAGGCTTTGTTTTAAGCTCTTAACAATCACCAAATGCATCATCAATCACCATATATTAATTTATTCTAGTGGGGATCATACTTAATTCATCAAAATTGTTTCAAGCAAGGTTGTCAAACTCAGTTTCATAATCAGTTTCAAACTCCAAGAAATTCTACTTTTAGTGATCTTTATAATATATTAGAAACCAAGGAGGGTGAAAAATATATGTATAAACTAGCCAAACAAAGAGAAAAAAAAGTAAAGATTTTGCTCGAGTGTATTAAAAGATGAAAATCAAAAAGTGCTTTCCTTAGAAAAAAGATATTTCAGTATAGGTGGAATAGTTATTTTTATAAACATTTTAATGAAATTTTTGAAAATCCGATCGACCATAGTGATTTTAATACATTGATAATAATAAAACGTTTCATTTTTACCATCGTATTAGTAAAAAGAAAATTGACGAGACTTTAAAGAATCAAGGGTGGAAAGTTTGTAGGGCCTGATGATATCCCAATTGACGTGTGGAAATATTTAGGAGATTTGGGGTTTCTTGGCTTACTAAACTCTTTAATATCATTTTAAATACTAAAAAGATACCTCTGGAGTGGAGGAAGAGTATTTTGGTCCCTAGTTTTAAGAATAAAGGGGATGCAGAAGAGTGTGCAAATAATAGAGGAATTAAGTTGATGTGTCAACTTTAAAATTATGGGAGAGGGTAATTGAAAATAGGTTAAGATGTATTACAAAGATTTTTCATAATCAATTTGGATTTATGTCAGGCAGGTCTACTATGGAAGCTACACATTTACTGAGAGGTTTGATAGAGAAGTTCAAAGATAATGAGGATCTACATTTTATTTTTATTTAATTTTTATTGATTTAGAAAAAGCTTACGATAATGTTCCAAGAGATATCCTTTGGAGAGTTCTTGAGAAGAAAGGTGTTGATATGACTTATATTCAAGTCGTTAAAGATATGTATACTAGAGCAGTTACTTGTGTTCGAACTAAAGGAGGATTGACCATAAATTTTCCCATTTCTGTTGGATTACATCAGGGATCGGCTTTAAGCCCATATTTTTTTGCTTTAGTTATCGAGGGTCATACTGGACATTTACATAAGGAGGTACCTTAGCGTATGGTATATCCTTCTTGTGGATAAGACGAGAGAAAAAGCCCAAGAAAAACTTGAATTATGGAGCTCTACATTTGAGTCTAAAGGCTTTCATTTGAGTAGAACTAAAACTGAATACATGGAATGTAATTTTAGAAGTAGTAGCTCTAGTGACAAAAGTGTAATTTCGGGTGAACAAATTATTAAAAAGTGTGAACAATTTAGATATCCCGGGCCTATTGTTCAAAGCAACGGTGAAATAGATGGGGATGTTAAGAGTAGAATTCAACTTGGTTGGTTGAAGTGGAGGAATGCTTCAGATCTTTTGTGTGATAGAAAAGTACCGCTTAGACTGAAAGGAAAATTTTATAAGATGGTGGTGAAACCTGCATGCCCTATGGTGTTGAATGTTGGCCTTTAAAAGAGAGGCATAATACTAAGTTAAATGTTGGCCTTTAAAAGAGAGGCATAATACTAAGTTAAATGTTGGCCTTTAAAAGAGAGGCATAATACTAAGTTAAATGTTGGCCTTTAAAAGAGAGGCATAATACTAAGTTAAATGTTGTCAAGATGAGAATGATTAGGAGGATGAGTCGCTTTACACTAAAGAGAGACAAAATACGAAATGAATATATTTGTGATAGGGTTGGTGTAGCTGCAGTGACGGACAAAAATAGAGAGAATCGTCTTAGATGGTTTGGTCTCATTCAACGTTGACCATCTGATGATCCGATTAGGAGATTCGACTTTGTTAAGAAAGGCAGAGGTAGACCTAGGAAGACTTAGGTTTATTGTATAAAAAATGATCTTAATTTATTAGAACTAAATGAAAATATGACACTAAATAGGACGCAGTGGAGAAAAAAGATTTATGTAGCCGACCCCACATAGTGGGATTAAGGCTCAGTTGTTGTTGTATTAATGGCTACCAGTGACAATGGATGGCGATCAATTGTTGTCATCAGAGATGAGAATGCAACCGTGGAATAATTTTCATTACTAACCGGCATATAAGCCAGCCAGAAGGCTCTTAAGCCCATACTCATTCAGCTAGGTCAACTGACTATGCAGTCATGTTTAAACCCCTAAGTGAAGAGTTGTGCATGCAGCATGTTTTTAGCCAATAACAACTGAAACAAATTTGGCATTTTTTGTTCCACCTCCAATATTGAGTACAAACTAGACAGCATGCTTTCAATAACTTCTAGAAAAGGAATTGCTTCCAAAAATTATACTTCAAAATGTGTTATTATTTATGATTCATTCTCATCAAACAACCATATTGCAGTCCTAGCGTGCAGCACTATGCAGGGAGTATTTTCTCCACTATGTAACTAATTCTGATATGCAGGGATATGCAGGGACCACTTCGTCTAGAATATTCTCTAGTCTATATACAAGTGTACTGTAGCTTTACAAGTAGGCAGAAGATGTAATACATATTAGTTTTCCTTATCTAAGCAATGCAGAGAGATTTCATTTGGTTCGTCTACAAGTCTGTACTTTCAGAATTTCAGAAAGCCTTCATGGCATCAGAGATCAGGTTCTTCCTCTACCAATAGTCTCTTCCTTCTTTCTTCAATGTATGAATCATCCTCTCAAAATTCTAGAACATTAGTGTTTTCTACTTCTGCTACAACAGAAATTACTATCCCTCCTCTTAAGTTTCTTATGTCTAATATCAATGCCATTGTCGATATTCAGCTAACAGGTAAAAATTTTGCAACTGGAATCAGATTTATAAATTGTTCAAGGCTTTGATGGTTTTTTAGAAAGGAGTAGTTGTCAGTCCTCAAATTCAAGACACTAATGATCAATCCTCTACAAATCCCCATTTCCTTGTTTGGCAACTTACAGATCAAAATCCTTCAGCTGCCCTCTACTCTACCATATCTCCCTCCATTTTACCATATAGCTTGAATCTGGAATCTAACGCTGAAATATGGCATACCTTAGCAAAGATACTTCAATATACAAGCACACCAAGTGATTCAGTTGTGTAATGAATTGCATCATGTTTTTATGTGGACTCTCAATGTCTAAATATCTCTTAGAGATCAAAGCTTTAGTTGAAAATATTACTGCAGCCAGTGGTCAAATTGATAATGAGGATATCATTTTACATATTTTGGATGGATTGCCGCCATCTTACCAATCTTTTAAAACTGCAATTCAAACTAGACTTGAACCCGTCAAACATTTTGACCTTTACTTACTGTTGTGCAGTGAGGAGATTAATCTTGCACCTGAAACGTCAAAGAATCCAATGCAGCAGCTATCGCTCTTTATACATCAACAAGAGCGAGAAGTGGCAATAGAGGTCATGGAAAGTTCTCTAACAACATTTCTAGAAGAGAAGCAGCTCCTTTTAACAACGCGAGAGGTGGAAGAAAATCAAGTGCTACATACTCTTCAATTGTTAGTCAAACTTGCAGAAAGTCTGGACATAATACTCTTATATGTTGGCATCGAAACAACATACAACTTATCCATCCAAAAACAGAAAAAAAAAGGACACTGCACTTCTTGTTGAACACAAGTCAAAGTCTGCAGAGTGGATCCCGGATACAGGCGCTACTTAACATCTCACATCCACTTATGATGAATTGTAACAACCAACATCATACCTTAGAAATGACACAGTTATTGTTGGAAATGAATCATCCCTGCCCATCACTTATACTGGACAAAGAATACTGACACCTAATCTTAAGTTGTTGCTTCCTCAACTTCTCTATCCTCGTCACTTATTATACAATATTGTCAATCCATAAACTTGCATCAGAAAATGTTGTAAATTCTACTTTAACAAAATCGGTTTAGTTATTAAGGATCAGAAGACTCATCAAACCATTCTTCATAGATGCACTAAGAATGGATTATAGCCAATCACTGACTCTTTAGCACTTCATGCATCTATCTCTCCATCTGAATGGTGGCATAGGCGACTTAGTCATCTTCATCCTCGAGCAACGACGACCATCTCTCATGGAAACAAAGCTACTAGTATTCCACTTCTTAGATAGTTTTGTAATGAATACAATTCCTCCAAAAACAATAGGCAACCTTTTTCACTTTTTGTTTCTAGGACTAAAGAAAAGTTTGCCATGGTTCACTGGCTTTTCATTGATGATTATTCCCAATTTTGTTGGATTTTTTTTTGGTTGCCAAATCTGAAACTACCAACAATGTCACTACCTTTAATAAAATGGTTCAAACACAATTTCACACCACCATCAAAATTAAGCGCTCGGAAAGGAGGAGAGTACACTTCTCATGTCTTACAACAATTTATGTCCTCTCATGGCATTGTACATCAATTCACTTGTCCCTACACACCCCAACAGAATGGAGTTGCTGAGAGGAAGCAACAGCATCTCATTGAGACCACTCATACTTTGTTACTCACAGCAAAATTACCTTATAATTTCTGAGCATAGGCATTACTTCCTGCTATCATTAACAACATGCCATCTAAAACATGTCACATGAAATCCCCTTATAAACTCCAGCATAATCTCCTAATTACACTCATCTCCAGACTTTTGGGCGTCTATGATTTCCTTGGCAAGAACCTCTCACTCCACATAAGCTTGCCTCACCAACCCCATATTGCATTTTCATTGGATAATTTTCATTTCATAAAGGGTATCGTTGTTATAATCCACAAACTAACAAGGTTATTGTTTCAAAACATGTTTAAAATGAAACATCCTTCTACAATTACTTCACGTCACATTCTATAACATCTTCCATTAATACTCCTCCTCCACTCCTAACATCTACAAACTCAAACTCGCTCAAAAATTCATCTTCATTACACCTCCAACAAATATTTTTAACATCTCATTTACCTTTTATCAATTCTAATTCAAATACCACCTCTCCATCTCAGTTACCGATCCAACAGAAAAAAAATCTCTTCAACACTCCATGGTGACCGGATCTCGAACCAAATCAGTTAAATCACAGAAAATATTTGATTTTCACACTCATCCTTCTCAAGATGCTGACCTGACCTACTATACTCAGGCTATCAAACATTTTCATCAGCATCAGGCTATGTTCAATGAGTTTCAAGCCTTACAACAAGTTACATGGGCTCACCTCCTCCACCAAATCAAACTGTTATTGGTTGTAAAGGGATCTAATGAACCAAATTTCATCTTGATGGTTCTATTGTGAAGTACAAAGCCAAGTTAGTAGCACAATAATTCAAACAAGAGGATGGCATTCATTACAGAGTAACTTTCAACCCTGTCGCAAAGCTACATACTATTCCAATTTTACTTACAGTTGTTCTTCATCATCACTAGAAAATACAGCAATTGGATAATTCCAATGCTTCTCTCTATAGTCAATTAGAAGAAATTGTCCATATGTCTCAGCCATAGGGTTTTCAAGGTATCCTCAAACCCAATCATGTTTGTCTCCTCAGAAAGGTTATCTATGGGCTTAAACAAGCACCTAGGCAATGGTACTCTATATTCTCCACCTATCTTAAAGGCACAGGGTTCACCCTAGGCACTGTTGATCCCTCTCTACTACTATAACAACATCATTCTAACTGCATTTATCTATTAGTTTACGTCGATCTTGATAGTTGGAAATGATCCTGCTTGCACTTCCACCATGCTTCAAGGCCTCAATTAAGAGAATTGAAGTGAGATTAACATTTTTTTGGGAATTCATATCTAACATACAACTCAAGGATATATGTTTATTCAAACGTCTTACATCGCTTCTTATAAAAAACAACTTGGAATGATTCTGTGTAAGCCAGTGCAAAGGCCTCTACATTAAAAATTAATGCCGAATGTTCTCTCCAAAAAACAATATGAAAATCCAACTGAGTACAGACAGCTCGCTGGTTCATTACAATTTCTCACCATCACTCGACCCAATATTGCCTTTACAGTGAACTATCTATGCCAGCATATGCATACACAGCAATTATATCATTTTCAGCTTATCAAAAGGCAGCTATGCTATCTCAAAATCACTTTATAGCATGGTCTTCAGCTCTCCATATGTGATTTACATGGCTATTCTGACTCTGACTATGCAGGAGATGTTGATGATCATCGCTGTACGTCGGGCTTCTGCACCTATTCTGGTAACAATTTAATATCCTGAATAGATAGAAAACAATTGCAAGGTCCTCATCTTAAGCAGAATTCAGAGCCTTAGCTACAGCTACCACTGATATCATATAGCTCGGAAGCTTAATTCAAGAGTTTTAGGCTCCAATTACAGCAGCTACACCCATCTATTGTGATAATATATCTGTCATTATCATTGCCTGTGTTTCATGCTTGTAATAAACATGTTGAAATAGATCATCATTCTGTTCTAGATCAAATTTTATCAGGTCAAATTCAGATTCATCATATCACTTCACAAAGAGCTTACCGACTGCTCAGTTTACTAAGCTTCGAACCAAGTTCACCATTATAGTATCTGATAGCGACCTTGAGGGGCGGTAACAACCATAGAGCAGTCCTAGCGTGCAGCACTATGCAGGGAGTATTTTCTCCACTATTCTATAACTAATTCTGAAATACAGGGACAACTTGGTCTGCTCAAGAATATTCTCAAGGCTATACATGTATACTGTAGCATTAGAAGTAGCTAGAAGATGTAAAACATAGTAGTTTTCTTATTTAAGTAAAAATGATTTCATTTTGTTCTTCTGCAAGTCTGTAATTTCAGCATTTCAGTAAGCTTTCAACATCGTACAATTTTAAACAATTTGAACGTTACAAGGAATAGAATCTCTTACTTGGAGACTAGGTTCCTTGGAAAGAATCACTGATCCGGGTTGATCTCGTGGTTGAGCTTTAACTGGATGGCTTTTGACCTTGTAGAGCAAAATATTAAACATATAAGCAAGCAGACATTTCCTACTATTCAGCAGAATAAAAATTTACAGAATCAAGGATTATTTGCTGATGTAAATGCATTGAATCAGCGAAGACTCCATAAAAGTGAATAAAGAATAGAGACTACCCAGCAGCGCATGATATCCCAAATGACTTCCATTGGGGCATCAGTTTTTAAACCAAGAGGATTCACGTGGGTTCCAGAAATACGATACCCAGCATTGAAAACTGCAGATCTAAACATTTCAGCAGAGGGTGAGGTACATTTCAAAGTGCCGCACAAGTTGTGGAGACTAAGAAAGAGAGGAACGTCATGCAATTCCTGCATATCCATTAAAAATCCAGTTTATATTATTGCATTGTTAAGAATGCTGAATAAAAATGCAGGCTTTTTCCATCCATAAAGAATTATATCATTAAAAAACACCACCAATATTCTTTTTTAGTAGGAAAGTAAATCTGTGCTGAATGGTTTCACAGCCAACAAATAGACACCTTTTCTTGCCTCATAAATTTAACCGTACAGAAAACTTCTCTTCAGTGATGGTCTCATTGAATAAAGGAACATTTAAGCAGTACTGTTCCCCGAAGTCCAATGGAACCCCACATCACATCAAAATGCCAAACAAATAAACAGGTTATTTCTAGCAATTTGAATTTTAAGATTTGGATTAGCAAACCTAATAGGTGCTTGCAAAAGGAAATGTTGAACCAGATAAGGATAGTTTCAGAAATATATTACTGCATAGTTTAACCAAAAGATGTGCTTATCTCATCAATAAAAGTATATAACTACTACAAACATAAGTGTTGCAGTAAAGATTCTTCATTTTCATCCTTGTTTCTAGAGTTTTGGGTTGGACCCCCAAATCCATCATTCCATCATTTTAAGCGCTACATAAAGAGTTAACTCATTTTATGAATAACTTATTCACAATTTCTATCCAGCTACCTTTGCCCACACATTTTATACATGCACATATGCATCCATCAACTCTCCAAAATGCTTCATTCATTCATTCATCTCAAGCAGTATATACAAGAAATTAAATCTACTTTACGTAGAACATCTTCACAATATCAACGTAGCCTCCTTTTGTATACTCCATCTCCCTAACCCTTTGACATACTTTTCTATCTACTTTCGTTTTGTGAATTTGGCGTGGAAATCAAAGATCACTTACTAGTGAGATCAATTTTTGGACTAAATCAAGCTTAGATTAGCATTAAAAATTAATTAATGAGCTAAAGTTGACTCTAATAAAACTAGAATAAAGTTGGACTTGGTTCAAATTGACCTAGCTCAAGATCAAAACAAAATGCCCATGCATTCATGTAACAATGCATGTATATGATTGTGTGTATTTACAATGATACATTTTCATCTATGCTTTTTTATAAATGTATTTACATATGCATGACTGCATGTTTGTCTGTTGGACACTAATTTTTCATAAAAGATTGAAAATCAATCAAAATCGAACAAAATTTATAGTTGATCTACCACCTAACTTATATATATTATAGTACCGTCACATGTCTACTATAATATTTATTAATCTAGCCTTCTTAATTTCTAGCAGATCCATCGTTAACATTCTCATTTCTAGTAATGCCCTATAGCACTTTGCTAGTTCAATCGGTCTGGCTCAAGGAGTCCATCTAACTGTTAAGTAGTGGAAAAAAGCTTCCTTGGTCTCCACAAATTGTTGCCCTTGAGTAGGCACCCACAAGTTGTCACCCTGAGCTTGGCAACAAAAACTAATCAACCAGACCATGGTGCCCCTCAGGCCTATAAAAGTTGGAGCTTACACTTGCCTTCTAAGAGTTGGACCGTTCCCCTCTCACCTGCCACGCAGATATGGTATTTATAAAAATAAAACATGGAATTAAATATAATATTTAATATGCATCAAATTTAAATTAATTTAATCTTTGAGTTGTCAGTAAAAGCATGACCTTTTCACCTATAGACACAGTCAAAACAATAAAGCCGGATATTGCATTTAGTGACAAACCCTTTTGTAACTCCCAAAACTAACAATCAATCAGCTCCTCACTTTTCATATTCCCTTGCCCTAAGCCGATTAATAAAATGAAGGGATAATAAAAGTGAAAATACTATGAGACAACATAGAAACATTAACAATAAGTAATCATAGCATGCCAACAATATAAGCAAGGAAGCATTATTAACATGGCAAATAAACAAAACATAGCAAAATTAAAGCTGTTAGCATCACACATGCTACTACATCAATCATGGTCATTCATTTACTTAAGTTCAGCTTTAAAGGCATATCGTAGAAGGCGACATTCGCCTTGTTGAGAAATCGACGACTTCCTAGTGAAGTCAACTGCCATTCTATGAGAATGTTTTCACTCAGATCTGTCGACCCATTATTGTATGCTTTAACACATGTATTTTAAGATAAACAAGATTTTTCCTAAAAATTTTTATGTTTTCAAGTACAAGCAGTCCATATTTTCAATTTTTTTATGAATCAATATTGGTTTCACCACGCAAATTGTTGATCACGTAAATAAGAGAGGGATTGGAGAATAAACTTATGAACATGGAGAAAACTACACACCGCTGCTGGATAAAAATGAGATAAAATTTGACAGCTGAGGGTTTATAGTTTCCACCTTAAGTGTAAGCACATGGTGTCCGTCCTTAATAATCATTTGCCTTGCATCATCAGTCATCTTAACCAAGCTACGTTAAACTTTCTATGTGGGTTTACACATGGTACTTAGAGAAAAAATAGAGAGACAATTGCTGGCAGCAATTAAAAACAACACAGTGGCAAAAGTTTTACTTCACACATTATACTTGATCATTTTCCTAACATCTTCCAACACTACGTGGTGTCTTTCCTCAAATACTCCTACCCATGCAGATAACTTTATCCTTGTTACCTCTATTCTTACAAACATGTCAGAATATGGTCGAGAAACATTTCATGAAGCAGCTTGCCAAGCATGTAACACTTGGCAGCATTATGATACCCACTCTTAGCAAAACCTTTGTAGGCATCATGTTAAATCCCACACATCAGCATAAATAAACATCAAGGCATCTTTTTCGCAATGCAAGTTGGTATACCCAAACAAAGCTGGTCAACCTAGCCCTCAAAAATCAACATCTTTGGTAACTCACATGTCAGCAACTCTTAGAGGCTGAGTCATGTTGTTAAGTCTAGTATCAATCAGACATGGCTGCCAAAACCAATTCTTGATTCATTCTGAAGCATCATTCTTTTGCATTTGTTGGTTAAACCAATCGAGTGCCTTGAGTCAATGATAAATCCATTTAAATGATCTATCATAGAGAAATTTCCTCTACCCTCCTAAAAGAATTTGACATATAAATTTATTGTGCATGTCATCAAAGAGGTAAGGGATAATAATTTCTTGTGCCGTCCTCAATCTCACAAGTGGCTTCTAATTCTATTTGATTCTTCCAAATGACCTCCACAATTGAGATGCTCTTTGTCCAAAGCTACTAATAATTCCATGCAAGAATCTTTTCATGCACTCCCCATAGCTAGGATCATGTTTTAATTGCAGTTCGGCAAGTTCACACAGGTGAATGTGTGTCAATAGACGATGGGTTCTACCTAATCGACTTCAAATGGATGAATATATCATGGTTGGAGCTGATTGGCTCCAGAAATTGCTTGCTCCAAGCAGAGAACATTCCTTCAACAAAACAATTTCTACATCAAATTAGACATCAACTCTTTAATTAAAAATATTTCTTCAATCAGTTTCATGTTCTAAAAAATTCTTTGGTAGATCACTTAAATCTTTTGTCGCCGCATCTGCCAACTTTAATTCAATGGTGGCACCTTCTCCTATCTCTAGCCGATTAAGGGGTACCTCCATCTGTATAAAACTTCATCATTAGTGATACCAAAACTTGGCATAACAGTTATTTTTATAGGTGACTTCTACCAAAGAAAATGTGCGCTTCAATTCACTGTCAAAATCCATGTAGCTAGATTCAAGCATTTAATTATCTTCAGCATTTAAATGGTCCGCTCTGTTTACCCACAAAGTTGGGTGTAACCACCTTGCTAGAGTCAAGTTGTGTTCTCATAGCATCTTGAAGTTGTCTCCACAATTGATGTGAATCGCCTGGCTCTATTTGGCATGATTATCCTTGGCACTCCATGTAAGCAAATGATGATTTCAGCATATATTTGTGCCAACTGATCGACAATCCGAAATAGATTGGCAGGAAATGAGCAGTTCAAATGAGTTAGTTAACAACAACCCAAATGGTGTTGTACATTCAAGGTCTTTGTCAATCCAACAACTAAAACCATGGAGATGTTTTCCAACTTTCATTATGGGACAATCAAAGGCTACAACATATACATCAACTTTGGTCCATCAACTTGGCCATCTCCCAAGCAAGGTAACAAAGTCAACAACATCTCCTCACTCAAAACCACAAAAATTGCTTTCATACCACAAAGTATCTTCTGAATTCTTATGTGCACTGTGTGCTTTCCCTTGAAATGTATTGTTTTATTTATTCATAAAATAAGATGCATGGATGGCCACTAATCTGGTAGATTGATCTCAATTTTTCATTTTGTATTTGCGTAAATTATACATGCATTGCATTTGGGTATTTAATTGAATACTTGAATCAACTCAATTACAAAAAAAAATCCAAAAGTTAAAAATATGCAATTCTGAAAAAAGAGGGTAATAACAATTGTGTGACACGAATTTTTACATAAAATAATTAACAAAAAAGAATTAATGGTTCCAAAACAACACTTGGTGATGGTTTTAGAATGTCCTTAGCATATCAAGATGAAATGTGTTTTTGAAAGAGTTGAAAAATAAATTTAATGAAATGCCACATTAAAATATTAATCAAGTTGATGACTTTGATATAATGATACATGATGATATTTTATGCTCATGACAGACTAAGGCCCGGTATGGCGCAACGTTTTTCGAGCGGCGTAGCAAGAAAATATGATTGGCGGTGTTTAATTCGTTCATCATGGCGGAGGTTTTAAAAAATTTCAATAAAACGCGGGCCGCGTTTCATCTTTCTTTTTCGTTCAGCATTTTCATGCCCTACCACGAGGTGTCCGGCTCTCCCCCCACGAGCTCTTCGCTCTGTCTTCTCCTCTCCCTATCCCCTCAGTTCTTCGGCTTTGTTTGGTTCCTTTGATCTCCCTCGGCCCACGGTATTCTCTACAATTATCTATTCTAGCATTTTGATTTTACGATCATTTTAATTTCTCTGAGCTCTATTCGATCAATGATTTTCAAGTGGTTGTGCACGGTTGT